ATAGATCGGCAATGGCGTGATCAGAGGTCGCCGAGGAATTTTCAAACGTAAGCAGGGGTGAAAAAGATTCATGTTTACGCTTAGTGTTAACAAAATTATAAAACTGCTTTGGATCCTGAGTAAATTGAATCCGGCAGCGGTCAATATAATTCCTATAACATTCAGCGTTATGCGTTTTTAGGTTAGTGAGGCACCTTGTAAACCAAGGAGGATTTGTTGAAGCGGACGGATATTTCCAAGGCACACATGAGTCAAAAAATGTATTTAAAGTAAAATAAAATTTTTCTAAAGTGACATTAAGATCAGTGCACGCCAGAATATCAGACCAGTCAAATGTATCGATAAGGCTATTAAGTTTCTGAAAATCAGCTTTACGGAAACAGCGAATCTTATTTACCACGCTCGGAGACATCTGATCGATACCAGGAGTGGTTTCGATTGAGACCTCCAGCGTGGGGTGATATGGATCCTCTGGGGTTGAAAGGGGAAAAGCTCTGGAGAGAGCAGTACCATCAGGATCAGATACAAAACATAAGTCTAAAAGCCGACCTAGCGAATTTCTAACATGATTGATCTGACCTAGGGACATGTCAAACATGGCCGCGGTGAAGTCATGGTATAGTTATAAGTGACAAAGATGGTGAGTTACCGACGTTGGACCACTTTTAATCTGGGATATTAAAGTCGCCCACCGCTACGAGTTGGTCACGATCCGTCATAAGATTAGAGACGTATCGAATGGCGGACAAATGCTGCCAATATGTGGGCGGTTCAGACATAGGAAGTATATATGAACATGTCATGTATAAAGCTTTCACGGACATAGTGATTTTAACACAAATAAATTCTATGTCACCAAACTCTTGGGATTTCACCTTTTCAGAAGCAAGAGTAGAATTTACCGAAATGAGGACTCCACCCCCCCCCTTCGCTGAGGTCGATCCCGTCTAAGCCGCAAATTAGATTGCGAGGTATGTTTTTTGTCACCGCAAAATCAATAAGGTCTGGGAGCTTGCGTGAGTCTGTTGGCCAGTATGTTGCACTTCCAGAGGAAACATAGTCCTGTTTATTCTTCACATTTTAATTGCATTGTACAGTTGCCTTTCTTTGGGAATCTGGCGTATGTTATGGTAGTCTCCTGCGGCTAGAAAACGATCTCCAAGTTAATTGTAGAAGTCCATAATTGTCCTTCCAAGATTGAGAAACGAAGGCAGTAAACGGCAGCGATTGAAAGGATTCCGTTGCTTGACTGAATTTGTATCGATGTGGCCTCGATGTATCGATTCCATCCGGACGATCTGTGTAACATAACGTCAATATGGTGTTCGTTCAAGAATTGTGACAATTCTAGTTTGATATTGATATTTGTAAAGTCTGCTTAGATTATTTAGACTGTTGTGCTATATGCAGCTGTATCACCATGTTTTGCTTTTGAACAAGTGTTTGCATGGTCGTTTTCATGAATGACATAAGCTCCATCATACTTTGTTGGAGCTGTGTTTTGCTGTGTGGCTGTTCTGGGGCCTTTTGAGCGCCTTGAGAGTTAGACTGAATTGGAATTTCCCTTCCAGATCGTAGAGCGTCGGCATAGGAGAAGCCGTTGGTGGTGTTAAGTGGACCGAATGGGGACCTCGCAGCTTTGGCGACGTAGTTTCTGGCGTAGTTTTTGACGCAATGTACGCATTCTGTGAATTTCGGTAGCGTGTTGCGGTTGCTTGACGCTTGCGAATCTTTAAATCCTTGTACACCATACATCCTCTATAGTTTACCGTAAGGTTGCCTCCGCAGTTTCCATATTTCTTCACGGTACTGTCCTTGCTTGTAGTGCAGTAAGCGGAGTTGTGGGAGTCCCCGCAGACTACGCAGACAGCCCGAAGTGTGCCGTATGACCTGGTATGTCCATACTCTTGACAATAAATATTAAGAGTCATTGCACTGTACCGTTGCGTTTATGTGGCTCTGCGACAGTGATTTTTCGATGCAAAAGATATTGCAGCTTGTAGATTTTGTGGACTTCGTTCTTTTTCAGCGACCTTCTTTCTGGCTTAAGCTCGAACTTGAATTTCATATCGAAATCGATATGATAAAATCAATTTCTTATAATACAAAATATAGTACATTGAATCAATTGGACAAAAATGGCCTCCATAGAAAATCCTAACTTTCTTACTTTAAAAATACGAATGGCCTTGCTCGCGGTGTGCAGTGTCATTTAGGAAGTCACTATATGGATTCATTTATATTACGGATTTGTAATTTGTCTCCTTCGCCAAAAAAATAGGAAAAACGGATGTTAAAGGACTGACAGTTCAAGAGGGGGTTTTTCTACTTAACAACATTGAGAAGCATAAAGTTAAAAAGAACTTTATTACCAGATGAAAAAAAAAAGAATCTTTCCCAATTCATTTTTTTTAAATGAACTTAATTCACCCCAATAATCTTCTGACCGATAGAGTTGAAAGGTTTCAAGTCTTTGATGTTACATGAGTAACATGCGGGCCGTTTCGCGAACCTTTGTTTTTTTAAAGCAAAGTCTCGGAATAAGGGCCTATTACGAGAGAGTATTTATCTACTTCAGAATAAAGGCATTTAGACAGACATAAAGACATCTTCACAGGTGCGTTCCTGGGCGCGCTCAAACGATTTATTTGTGCGCAACGTACACCCAGGCAGATATGCTTTCATTAGTTTTGCCAGTCCGAAACTATCGAGTGGCGGTGTATTCCACCACGCTTTTCCCATTTTGGGGGTCTGTTGGAAGCAGCAGTAAAGACGCAAAACACCACATGTATTGAGGAGGATTCATATCACGAAATTCGTTGATTCGAGGATTTGAGGTCCTTGTTATGCCACAAAGGCCTAATCGTAAATTCCCTGATCAGATGTGCTTATTTCATAAATGGCGGAAATGGCACCCATCCTAAATAACCCCCCTTCAACATTCATGACACCAGACCTTAATGCCCCCACCTTTAACCGTCTTGATGGGTGGCAGGCAGTCTTCTTCTTGCGACAAACGTTCTGGGCGCTGTTGCAGCAGGGGTCCAAATGGCTCACCTCTGGGCCAGTAGTGTCTGTTGGCGAAAAAGGCCTGGTAAAGGATGAAAATCTACGCCTAATGAAGTGGCCCATAGCCAGAACACTGGAGCTAATTCCTGGTCGTGACAGAGTAAACCATGTAGCCGTAATAAAGACAACTGTTTAAGACAAATCGTGCGGTGTCAAGGTGGTGTCTGCTGCCCTTCAAGGATTTTGTTTGTTCAAGCATTGAAAACGATTTTAGATACAAATTCCAAAGAATGAGTTTCACATGATCGAACCAATGGAAATACGAGATAAACAGCATGGATGAAAACCGATCCCCTGAAGCCTAACACAAATACATAAGTGGTGCGCTTATCGCACTTAAGAAAGGGTCGCAAAGCAGGTCAGCGTGCAGTGCCTTGATTGGTAGTTTTAAATAGGTTTAAGATTTTCATGTATCTTTCTTATAAGAGAATTGTACAAAATAAGAACAGTTTTACAACGGAACTCATTCGGGTTAGTCCTATTTATTTGGGGCTCCTTTTAGCACTGTTGAAGAACTATCCTTTAACGAGGGGATGATTTAAAACAAGCGTTTATTTGTTTGTGCTTGTTTGTGACAACAATCAATTTGTTTGTTTTACCCCCGTCTCACCTCTTGGCTACGTAATAATAGACAACTGCATGGCTCGGAGCTTTTCTTTCTAAGCTTCGATTACTTGTGTATTTGGCATTGATTTGAGCGGATGCAGATTTTTAGACTACCCGCAGACTGCCGCCCACAGTAATTGCATGCAATGGTCTTAAATGTTGCTATTGTTATTTCTCTTAATATAAGTCATTGTTTACGTCTTTGTAGATAAAATGATCATAAAACATTTGCAAAATTTTCTTGTTAAAATATTGAATACATTTTCTACAGCAACGATGCAAAAAACCGCCTTAAAAGATTTATGCGTGCCACAAGGCGTGTCCGAAAAAAAGATCGGGCAACAGTATGTTAAAGAAATCACCGAGGTTTAAAACAAAGGCCCATAAAGCCTTTAATTTTGCTAGAGAATGATACACAGAAGAAGCTTGTTTGTTCCGACCTCATTCAGTACAATAAGGAACTACGCAGTGCATAGAGGAATGCCCTGAACCAGTTCAGGACCCTTCTCCTCAAGAGTATGAACAGGCTCATTAGTCTCCACATTTCAACCCCAATGATACTTCGGGTTAACAGAACGCTTATAGGACAGGCCGAGCCACCCGACCAAAAAAGGCGCTTAGTGACAAAAACAATACGCATATTGCTTTTCTGGATATCAAAGTTGCTTTCGACAACATCTTGCCATGCTCAACAACCAATGCGCTTACGGGACTACGGGTAGACAATCAATCCGTGCAGGTGCAATAGGTAATAAAACAAATACAATACAACAATTGCAAAAGTTTTGAATTTTATGATAGTGAGTTCGCTGATATCAAAGTTGCTTTCGACAACATCTTGCCATGCTCATTAACCAATGCGCTTACGGGACTACGGGTAGACAATCAATCCGTGCAGGTGCAATAGGTAATAAAACAAATACAATACAACAATTGCAAAAGTTTTGAATTTTATAATAGTGAGTTCGCTGATTCCATGAACTATTTTTCTGAATTTATTCTGAAAATAAAATAAATTTTATTTTTATTTATTTAACTTATTAATCTTCTTTAAAAAATGATTAACAAGCGGTTATGAAATAGATCGGCACAACTACCAGTTTTAAAAAAATGGTTTCAGACTGTCGATAATCTCTTCAGGAGATGGCTCAACAGTTTGATATTATCTGGCGCGATCGAGGCTAATCTGTATAATGGGAACGTCACAGAAGGGGCACTGGGAAATTTTAATAAAGTAAAGAACGTGGGCAGCCAAAATTTAAAAAAATGTATTATTTTTTTTATAATCAAGTTTATATTTGTATTTATTAATTTAAGGTTATTACCTGCCGATATATCCAGCTTGCGCCATCATTCCATTCCTATCATCCATCACTCGTTGTGGTTGATTATTTACTACCTTTCCGTCATCGTTTCCTTTCCAAGTTCCATCATCTTCTTTAAATGATTGGCTTCTGAAAATCAAGCGAAATAAAATTTTCAATTAATTAATTACGAACTTATAAAAGTTAATGTGCCTAAAATGTGCCTAAACGACTGGTTCCATAAAGAATTTAGAGTCTAATAATTCATGATAAATAATCCTAACTTAAATTAATTAAAATGCATTTTTTTGTATAACATAGTGCACTGTGTTACACTATGGTCTAGCAGACCATTTTTGTTGCATATTATAACAACACACCGCCCCTTTTTTGTTGTTTCTTTATAAGGGCATATAGGCCCAATAACAAAAGTGATTGTAAATTTATTTAAAAAACAAGAAAGGAAAGCTAACTTTGGACGGAGCCGAAGTTGATATACCTACAATATATTATTGCTGCAATATATATATTGCAGTTAAGATCAAAACATATCGCAAATATCGGATATAGTTGATAACTGAACAACTATATATATGAGCTATATATATATATCCCGATCCCGGCCGTTCCGACTTATATACTGCGTGCAAAAGAAAGAAGGGTTTGTGCAGAGTTTTAAGTCAATAGCTTTAAAACTAAGAGCTTTAATGGCTCTCAGTTAGCTTAGTTAACTCAGCTCAGTTATATTTAGTCAATAGCTTTTTGTGGTCAAAAGAGTGCAACGGAAATGGAAATGGTATAACTTTAGTGTTTTTAAAGATAGAGAGTTCAAATTTGACATGAGAGCTATTTTTGGCAACGACATGCTACGACATGCTAAATTTCATAAGGATCGGCCGACTATATCCCATAGCTGCCATATAACTGAACGATCGGAAATAACCCAACTTTCGTGTTTTTGAAGATAGAAATCTTAAACTTCGTACAAATACTACTTTTGGTCAGATAATCAGACCTACCAAATTTCATAAGGATCGGCCGACTATATCCTATAGCTGCCATACAACTGACCGATCGGAATTGACCCAACTTTTGTGTTTTTGAATATAGCAAGCTGGAACTTGGTGCAGATTATATTTTTGGTCAGTTAATCCGACCTACCAAATTTTATAACGACCGGCTGATCTTATAGCTGCCATATAACTGAACGATCGGAAATGGTTTTTGGTAAAAATATCAACTTTCGTATTTTTGAAGATAGAAATTTGGGATTTTTTTTAGATTCTATATAATAATAACTTGAGTTATATTATCATATTCTTTTAAGGATCGGCCAACTATATACGATGTTTGCGATATATATCCGGTTTTAACTGCAAGGGTATATCAACTTCGGCTCCGCCCGAAGTTAGCTTTCCTTTCTTGTTTTTAGATAATATTGATATAAAAAATGATATAAATGAAAAATAAGATAAATACTACTGTATGAAGGAATTTTTCTTTTTCAACTTTTGTAGGCATTTGTATGGAAAACACTGAAATCCGGTATTTTAAACTGATAGCTCCCAGGGAAAGCGTTTTCCGATTTGGTTCAAAATATCTATATCGTATTAAAATAGCAACAAATATCAGCTCCTTAAATTTCTATAATTTATCTTTACTTTTACCCGATCGTTCCTAAGGGAGCTATAGGATATAGTTTCCTAATCCGAACGTTTTTCATACTATATGTGCCTAGGATCAAATAATACCATAACGATTGGTTAAATTTCTTGTCGATATCTCAAAAACAGAGTTATTAATTAATGCCACAAAAACATGTCAAAAACCCAATAGTGCACTGGTCTAGTGTCAAGCGAATAGTATTTTTGATTAAACTTCTGTGAGGTGTGAGTTGGTTTGTTGCAATTCACAAAGTAAGTGGCTTAGGCGGCTATCGCCGAGCTGAATTCCAAGTTTGATTCTGTCTAGACGTACCATTTCTGAATAGGTAAAATTGGAGAGGATTGCATCCAAAAGCACCGAGTTCAGTTCAGAAGTTACTGCTACCCAACCTCGTGGGGGTGAGGCCGTTCAGTGCGCGTCGATCTGCCGACGTGCCTACCACATTGCATGTGTGGATTTGCTCTCGGAGCCTATAAAATTAATTATAAACATTCCGAACTTAATGTGGCAATATGATAGCTGCGCCATTGGAAATGATTCACATTCCAAAATAGTTGAGCTTAATCATAAGGTTCTGGATCTAGAATCCCTTTTCAAAAGCCTTCAAGCCAAAGTGGATCATGCCAATTCTATGCCTACCAGCACTGGGAGCAAAAAGGCTACACTGGCCCCAACGGCATCAAAGGGGGCTGTCCCAAGGAAGAAGCGGATCAACCCTAATATACCCATTGTGGGAAAAGCACCAAGTTTCGCTCAGCTTCAAGTGCTTTCCACCTTAAAATACTTTAATATTGGTAAATTCTCGACGTCTAACCAACTAGAGATACTGTGCAAGTTTGTCGCAGATATGCTAAACCTGGAGCCTGGTTATTTACTGGCCTGTGCTAGGCTAGTCAAAAAAGATTCTGACTTTAGCGCCCTCAAGTTCGTTAACTTTAAATTGGGAGTTAAATTGGGAGCAACATTCCCCTACACATTTCAATGATGACTTTTGGCCTATGTCAGTCTTTTGCTGACGTCATAGCCGGTTCGTACATAGAAAGCCTGCTAAGATTATTGACCTCCCGGGTATTCTTCCATTACCACAAAGGCGATCATCAAAAAATCCCCTAATAAGCGGCGCCGTTGGCGCAGTTATTTCTTCCTCCTCACAATCTTCTATATATCACCCCGATTGCTCTGTGCTGCGCTACCAAGAATAAATAGCGCGGACGTTAATGCTAACGGTTGACGCATTCTTCTATTCCACCAATACTTTGCTCCATTTGCTGATCGATGTGGTCCAACAACAACCACTATTTTCAAGGCGAGTTGTTTACATCTTTTCTTTACTTGTGGATGTCCAGCCACAACAAGACGATGGTAATCGAGACGGTGGCAGCGCATCACTGCTCATCTTATCTCTTTTCACTGGGCCACTCGCTGGTGCTGTCTTTTCGCCGATGAATGATGTTTATTTACCTTTTGAACGTGAGAGTTTAGATAATTGCTGCGCGTGGATGTGCCAAACTATGAATGCTCTATGTTTTCACCTGGAACTGGATTTGAACAGTTGCAGGCCTACTGTTGAGTCTAATGGAATGATCTTTGTGTCCTCGTTGCTATCTTGCAAGCTATACGTGTTGGAAATACCTCCACATGCACCAGTACCAGGAGTGTACTTTCATCATTACCACCTAGCCATTCAATTTACAATTTGGACCGTAGCTATTCGTCCTCGGACCCCAATAAAAACTTAAAAGTTCTATTCCAAGTCGGGAATGAGGACCGAGTTTCCGATGATATTCCTGAATTTTTCTGCCTGCGATTCTGATGATTTATCTTCATCGATTTAATCCTCCTTGTGAAAACGTGGCTCAATGACAATTTTAGCTCCTCTGAGTTTTTTGATCCTAACTTGTACAATGTATTTCGGAAAGACCGAGATGCATTCAGTACCCAGTGTGGGCGAGGAGGTGGTGTCATCATCGCTATCCGTCGACCTCTTCAGGCTACACCACTACGCATTCGGGGGGCCGACCCTCTACTGGATCTGCTTGCCGTTTCAATCCAGGGCGTCCATGGCCCTCATTGTCATCATCGTTTGTCATCATTGCGTCGTACATCCCTCCAAATAGCGCATTTAGTGTCTATTAGGCGCATATGGAAAACATCACTAGTGTTTTTGCTAGCACGTCGGACCCTAGATGGTGATATTTTAGATGATATTTTTAGTCTGGGCCTTTCCCAAGTAAATAATATTTTTCATGATCAATCTAAAATTCTTAATCTTATATTTTTAAATAACGTGGTTAATAGTAAAGAGGAATTATGCAATGTACCATTAAGTCCTTGTGATATGCTCTACAAGCCGTTAGTAATTCATATTGAGTTTTATAGTTTTTTGCCTTCTTCTTCACCCATTCCATATTATCATCTGAATGATACTAACTTTTCACTTATTAATGCCTCTATTTCAGCCTTTGATTTGTTTTTTTTTTGACGGCTCAATCGATGATTGTTATACTAAACTCTTGGTTGCCCTTATTTATCCCCCTGTGAGGGTACAAAGATCCTATAGTCTTTCATGGTATATGGTACAAAAGGTTTAAATAACTTAAAAAACAAAAGGGATACATATTTTAAACGATTTATAAAGACAGGGGAGCCGCGAGCAGGAGAGCTGTATCAGAAATTTAAGCGGGAATTTGAATTCCTTAATACGTTTCTTTACAACCAGTATATATCCGACGTCGAAGCGAGCTTCCGATCTAATCCTAAAGCTTTTTGGTTCTTTGTTAACAGCAAAAAGTCAAAATCGAACATATCTTCATCCATCACGGCGTTTCGGAACTTTTTGCAAAATACTTTGCCTCTAACTTGGAGCCGAATGTTCCTTGGAATGATAATGAAACTCTTGATAGCATTGAGCCTTTTCTCAATGTTTGAACATGGACATATTGGGCTGTGACCTAGTTAAAGCCACAGAACATACCGAGTCACAAACACCTGACTTGGATGGTATCTCCCCTTTCATGCTGCCCTTCTAGCCAAGTTATATAAATATTCATTCCTGCCTATAAAGTTGGTTCAAGTCTTATTTGGCTGCTTTCTCAAGTCCATTTGGACTTCCTCTGGTTTTCCACAAAGCAGCTCTCTAGGACCTCTCCTTTTTATTATTTTCATCTATAATCTATAAAGCCAATAGTTGCATTAGGAACAGTTACTTGTTACAGAAGGATATATCCAGAGTTTACTCATGGTGCTCCCGTAATCTTCTTCCATTAAACATATCAAAGTGTCTGTTTACCCGTTACCGTAAGGTAACGTAAGGTCTCTTTAAATCTGCACGCGTTATTTCATCAATAATTATAGTTTGGCAGCTAAAGGGGAGGTAATTAAACCTTGGTGACAGCAAATTTAATTTTTTTATATATATATAAAACGGAAAATAAGTTATAAAACAAACCACAAGAAACTACAATAGAAAACACAACTTTATTCCA